GGTGGCCCGGACTGAAGCCCCCAGGTACGGCAGGTGACGTAATGCGTGACTTATGCGTAAATTGGCGAAAATTTCGCTCAACTGGAAATGCATTCACCATGACCTTCAGTTAAACGAAAATGCAAAAGAAGTACTGGAGGTATTAAATCGTTGGGTAGAAATAGTGATTTTTTTGAGGAAATCAAGGATGCCTAAAACATAAGGGTTCATATAAAAAGCAAACTAAATTTGTAAAAGCACATAAGTCCTGCCCATATAAATGCCCGTGTAGAAAAAACAGCATACAACAAAATTTAAATGAGCGTTTTATATGCATTTATTTTCAATATCGTCCGAGGACTAGGGTAATATGAAATGCGGCAATTACTAAATTGCCTAATGTTTGGCTCAGTGTCCCAAAATGACGCTGCGAGAATTTATTACAATCCTTCCATTTTTGCACTGCCCGAAGTACGTTTGCCCTAAGCAAGGGAGATTTCGCCTGAGTTCGAGGGCAGAGATGACATATGGATAAAAGTTTCAACTTGTCGAGCAGCTAATCAACAACTAAGCAATTGGAATAGAATTAATCGATGTAATTGCGAGCAAGGACTTTCTGCACATCAGGATTTTTCGTTCATAAAAGTACTATCAAGTTTCAGAGACGATTGAGTCTGTTGAGTTTCAAGTTGATTTCTAAGTGTCAGCGAATTATTAATGGTTTCGGTGTCTACAATCAACTATCGGAACTGATAGACTTCTTCCAAAGACGTGGCCCAACTTGTCTAAATAAACCGCATGTCTGATAAAACATGCAACACGTTTTAAATTAATCTGCAGTCCGGGCACTTTCAAATTCTGGAGGAGCAGGTTCTGAAATATAAAAGAATTAGATAGGTTATCAGAAAGAACTGCCGTCAACTGAAACTCCTTCGTGCATTAAACCACGCTCTTATATCCATTAACTGGCGATCATGTAGTCATTAGCAAGCAGGACTTTATTTTTTATTTGGCGATTTGGAGTAAAGTCTTTTACTAGTTAATGTTACCTTGTACATCAGAATTTCATTCTCAGTTTGGAGCTAGTGTGCGGATTTCTTGGGTAAGCTTAACTGCCAGGTTACGCTCGATGTCTTACTTTTTCGATTTGGAAAAGGGAGAACAAGATTTGTGATATAATGTTCCTGCGAATAATTGCTGTCCTATTCATAAAACAGAATGATAGAGGACGTTGATAAAAATCTGTCGGCGCGTTAGCCTTGGTTTATTATGGTTAACAGAGTACTCATTACTGTGCGTTTATACTATTTTTCGACGGATGATAATCGACCGGTGCTTTTGTCGAGGCCAGTCAGTTAAAGTGAAAACCAGCTTACTGATTTACCAACAATACGCATTTTTGCCGCCATTAACATTTCAGCCTCCTACATGTCGATTCCCCTCTTCCCAACGTACAGCAGCCTAACACGACGATGTCGCCGTCGAAAAGCACGTACAGTTTTCAGTGATCAACAGTTATCAGGCCTTGAACTCCGATTTCAAAGACAACGTTACTTGTCGACCCCAGAACGGATTGAACTAGCCTCACTCCTTGGGCTTTCGGAAACGCAGGTATGCACAGTAAACATTGCGAATAATAAACTGAAAGCTGTAATAGTAGCTTCAGCATTATTTTGCTTGTTTCTTTTAGTAAAAACGAGACAGCTGCATATAATGTGCACTAGAATAGTAATCACTCGTCTGTCCCGTCCAGAGAACTGAATACAAACAGTGCGTTTTATGTCTGAGTTCCCGTCTAGATCACCAATAACAAATGCCAGGAGAATTAAAATGGCAAATAAACCATGGTTGGGAAATGCAATATTTGTGCACTTACAGGTTTTACTTATCATCATTAAAGCAGTGCGTTTTTTGTAATTTGTAGAATTTTCCCAGATGTACAGTTTGGATTTTGGAAAACGACTCAATGTAACGAGAACTTCAGACTATTTAAGTTATAAGCAAAACAAAAGTTACGAGTCATGTCACCCAGTACATAGTTTGTGGGTAAAGTCTCCTTCAAATATACTTATTATAGGCAATCTGACATGGAACATGTCCTTTTGGCGCAAAACCGACAACAACTGAGGGGCTGGAATAGTTTCTAGCCTTACCTTGGCGGTACAACCTAGAAACATACGATACGTGACATAATTCATGAAATATCTCAAGATTAACAAAATATCTCTAATCAATCGGAATCCAGTCGAAGTGCGTCCGCCGAAACACCAAATTAAAGAAGAACGACCTACAATTGCATAGAAAAACAAAAGACATGGCGGAGGCAATATGATGTGTGTTAGAAAGACAATTTTTCGAAGAAAAGCATAAATGTCAGAAACGCGAAAATTCTCATTAAATAGGTAAACTCGAGTTTGTGAAGTGTACAAAACCTGTTCATGGAAATAAAAGAGTAACTTTTGCGGCGTAAGAAACTGCTAATGACTTAAATTTGCAGCTAATCTCCTGCAAGAATTAGTTTTATTAAACTATGGCACACAATTAAGCCCCATCATAGGTTCCTAAACTGTCCCACGGAAATTCGATATATTTTTTCCGGTTTTGTATTGCTCGACATTCCGTTGATTAAGGCCAGGAGGATTTTGTTCAATTCGCTGATTGAGACGTCGTAGGAATAAATTTTTCAAAAGGTCGCACCTAGAGAGGCCAGTCAGTGACATAGCAATTAGAATAGATGGCGCCAACGTAGGCATCGAAATTTTGTATCAAGAAAACTCTTCCTCAGTAAAACTGATGCGTGGTTTTTGGCAACAGTGTAGTCTGCTGAGTTGCAGGATGCTTTTTAAATGTCAATGAAAACTTTGCAGTTTTGAGGGCATTTAACTGACGGCCTGGAAAGATAGGTACTGGGCCATTTGAATATCAAAACATCCAAAGTAAGATATTTCCTGGAACTATTTATCGAAGTAGTGAGTTCATGGGTATGGTGTTTTTGCAGATGGTCGTTTGGTTTACACCTAAAGTCTCGGCTAGGCGTGAAGCCTCATTGCTGAGGACGATGAGCGTCTACATCTACAGCCGGCGATAAATGTACTCCCGTTCGATGGGCAAGCTTTCTTTTAAAACTTTTTCCAAAAAAACCCTTAACAATATATTTTGCTGACGGATGTCCACGCACTTTATCATATTTTAGGGTAGGGTCAGCAAATAAATTGAAACCGTTGATCGGCTATTTCATGCTCTAAAAAATACTAATACTTTTTTGGCGCAGACGAAAAAACTCGTTTTTTCATTATAGTTGAGCAGTTTTTGCTATTTTTGTCTGCTCCCAGAGCCGTTATGAGAGTATAAATGCACAAAGGTGTGGCCAAATAACGCTAACTAGTGCTTTGCCCCTTCCGTTTCCAGGTGAAATATTGGTAGAAATTATACTGCGGGAAAGTTTTGGTTTTTCTACGGTATTATGGCTAATAAAGTGTCGTGCGTACACTTTGCAGAACTAATATGGGCAGAGGTCTAAAACGCAGCCCCATGTAGTCATTTCCTAGTCAGTTTCCTACGAATGTCGTATTAATATTGACTCCAGTAGGCGGGTTTCTGTTTAGTGTTAGGGTTACGATTAAGGTAAGGGTCTACCGTTTAGAGTTAGGATTAGTATTTGGGGGTTAGGGGTTTAGGGTTTAGTGTGAGAGTTAAGGTTTTGAGTTAAGGTTTAGGGTTAGGATTAAGAGTTAGGGTTTAGGGCTAGGATCTAGAGTTTGGGTTTATTGGTTAGGATTTAGAGTTAGGCTTTATGGCTGAGTTTATTGTTATTATCTAGGTCTAGGCTAATGTGAATTTCAGGAACCTGTTCAAACACTCTTCTGCACCACTTTCTTTGATTGACATATCCGGGTTTACCAATCGGCACCCCCCCCCCTATGTAGAAGCCTAATTTTGTCAGTATGGTGGTTATACAGTAGGTGGGCTAACTCATGAAATCCCAACAGAAATTCCGAAATGCGTTTTCATTTCGAAAAGATTAATTATGGGTGTAATGACAGTCATCGTGCAGGATAATTCTATAATAATTCAGTCACCACAGCACCCTGGCTTTCGAACGAACTTATTTTCGGCTGCATCTGAAAATCATATTCCGTAAATGTGACTAATTATTTTGCATGCATTTTTTTCATTGATTTTCAATGCCCTTAAAGACTCAATTATATTTCATGGAAAACATGCATAAAAATATTCACCCTTTGCTCATTCAGTAGGAAATTACGTCTTCTTTCAATTTGACCTTCGAAGAAAGGGCAGAATTCGGTTTTTAAAAGTTTCTTACTGTGAGATTGCTTAGGGCCGTGAAGTGTCCCTTCATAAAACGTAACGTCTCTGCATTTACCAATGTGGCTTGTAAAGTTAATAATGTGGTTCAAATTCACTGCTTAATTATATGAACCCCATATGGTCTCCTATTAATACGCTAGAGAAACGTATGTTTTTCCGTACGCGAAAATTATTCGGCTTGTAGTTTTGGAAACTTGGATGCAAGTGTGACGGCAGGTCGGATTCAAAATTATTCGGGAATTGGAAAAGTACTTAAAAAGGAAATTATACCATTCCTTCGAGTATAAAATTGAAAGAAGACGTAATTTTCCACTGAATGAGCAAAGAATGAAGAATTTATGCGTGTTTTCCTGAAATATAATTGGATCTTTTAGGACATTGGAAACCAATGAAAAAATGCATCCCAATTAAATAGTCATTTTTTACGGAGTATGGTTTATAGATGCCGCCGGAAAGATTTTTTTCGAAAGCCGACATCCCAAGGTAACTGAATAATTATAGAATTACGCGGAATTAGGATTAGTTTTACAACCCTACTTAATTAATCTTTTCGAAACGGAAACCTATTTCGGAATTTCTGTTGAGATTTCATGAATCAGCCCTCTTACTGTATGTTTGCATACCTCTTATGCGGACTTCCATCCTCCCAGGTGAAAACTTGGTTCCAGAATCGTCGAATGAAGCATAAAAAGATGCAGCGTTGTCGAAGTCCCGCCGTCGCCGCCACTACTGCCACCGCCACCACCTCCGCGGCTGCCGCCCACCACCACCACCACCACCACCAGCAACACTATACAGACCTGAGCGACCGCGATCCAGTAGTCGGAAGTAGCAGCCTCGACGATGATCTCTCCTTGTCCAGCGCCGATGACAATGAGGGCGCCATACGAGAATGTCCGGAAGACGAAGGCAACCCCGGGGTCAGACAAGGCACAGTGACTGTCGCCGTCGCTGGTGCCAGAGGAACAAATCACGAAGAACGAACGCTTCTGGGAGCATTGGCCGGATTCAGTTCAAGTGAACACTGTTCAAGCGGTGTCGTTCTTTCTTCGACGACGAGATTATTTTCTGACAATAACACGAGGCCATCGGTTGGGCATACCAATATCCAGTAGGCGACCATTAAAATTCGATGGAAAAAACAATCAAAACCAACCTCGACGCTAACATTGTCCGCAAATATTTTGCAGACCCCTAGTCACCCTGTTACTTTCAACATTTTAGACATATTTCATGTAATTTTACTTGACTTGAGATGCCTCTATTAGGATGGGGCACTTTTTGCATATTCGACTATCTCGGCATGAAAGCGGTGCATTTGGAAATGTAAAAAGTCCGCTCAATTATTACGATTTAGACTGAGTGACCCACAATTGCAACAGTTAGATGTACTGATATGAAATTGGGTCGAATTTCTGAAATCACCTTTCTGGAAAAAATGAAATATTTCCCCCCACATGAATTTAAAATAGACATACACAGTGTAAATACACCAATAAGTTCTGCAGTGTATGTTCGTTTTAGAATCAATTTATTATCCACCACCCCTTAACAAAAACCGGAACCTGGTGAAGTCGGTAAACAATCCTAATTGTTTGATAGCTTGAAAACCGGACCTCGGGCTCCATATATGCAATTCTAACTACTTTTGCTACAGACAATTGGAAAGCAGCAAGGAGACTATGTTATTCCTCAACTACTATTTTGGATGAAGCCAAGAAACAACCACCACCGTCACCGTCCGTGCACACAGTAGGTGAGCTAACTCATGAAATATCAACCAAAATTTCGAACTGCGTTCTCGTTCCGAAAAGATTAATTAAGTAAAATTAATCATCATGCAGCACAATTCCATAATTGTCCAGTTACCTCAGGGTGTCGAGTTTTGAAATAACTTACCTCTGACTGCATGCAAGAACTATACTCTGCAAAAAATGATTACTTAGGTAGCATGCAATTTTCTCATTTATTTTAGATGCTCTTGAAAATGAAATTATTTTTCATGAAAAACATGCATAAAAAATATTC